GGGTGTGAGGGCACTGAGGGCAGTGAGGTGTAGTGGGGGTTGGGGGTCGTGGTGGGAATGTGTAGGTTGGGGGGAGCGGGCCGGGTGGTGTGTTCGGGGTCAGATAGGGGTTTTTTGGTCCTTTTGGGGTGTTTGGGGGGGGGTGTCAGTTGGGGGTGACAAATTCGTGCCCGTTCCCAGTTTTTAATTCGCCCGCACAGTCCACCGGGACTCACTTGTAACGGAATTTGCAACCTCTCTACGCGAGCTCCACAGGGCCGGGTGCAGAGTCCCACCAGCAGCCTTGCTTTTTCTCGATCATGCTCGAATCTGGACGTGCCTATGCAGAAATGACGTTGAGTTCCCTGAACCCCACATCTCCACAAACACGTCCAGACACTCTACGCTGCATGCAGGTCTTTAATCCCGGCAGGTTCTCTTCTGTCCTCCGACCCTTTATCCCAACTGAAATGGACGCCCCCGTTCCCGGGGAAGGAATGGGTCCTGAAAAGACAAAACTGCCCATTTTAAACTTGCCATATGTCAGGAGCGCCGCCAGATGTTTTTTTTGCCTCTACGAACTGGGAAGGACAGGGACCTGCCCAACTGTATTTTTTTTGCCCATTCTGAACTACAGGTGTGACACAGGGGTACTTGCCCCGAAATGTTTTTTTGTGTTCACATTTTGCATCTCAAGTGGCCGGTCTTGAAACTCAAGTGCAGCCCAGGCAAAATCCCACTTGAGTTCAAGTCACCTTCCGGAGGTGCCTTGAGTTCAAGAGCTACACTTGGGTTTCGGCCGCGGGGCCAGGGTTTTTTTTTTTTCTTTTTTACACCGCATGTTCCTGGTTCACGGCCTGTCCTTTTTGCGGTCCAGCGAGCGACGGCTACTGGTGGCGGCACCGGGTGCCAGCAGTGGAACCGTGGGCGGTGGTGGCTGCGGATTCCGGCAGGCCGTTGGGGCACACATGCACGTTTACCGTTGTAGCACGCGGTGCACCGCCATTGGGGTGGGAAGATTCAAATCGGTCGACACGCTGCAGTTGCACATAGCCGTTGGGGCGGATTGTTGTGGGCGCGGGATGTTCTACCGCGGCAGGTCCAAATGGCAGTACAAGACAAGCACGGTTGCCGCAGGTTCCTGCAACGGCGTTCGCACGTGCTTCTGCAAACCTTCGTTGTCCATTCCTGTCGTCTGCGCTGTGCTGCGACGTGATTGGCGGACCATGCGAAGAAGTTATCGCTGCTTTCTGTCCACTTTTGCACGCGTTGCAATCCTGTAGGCTGCGGAGCGCCGCACTGTACCCCCAACAAATTTCGAATTTGAAAACCCGCNGCTTTCTGTCCACTTTTGCACGCGTTGCAATCCTGTAGGCTGCGGAGCGCCGCACTGTACCCCCAACAAATTTCGAATTTGAAAACCCGCTGCGCGCGCGCTCCCACACTGCACCTCGCCCCGAGCGGTACCAAACAGCACACCGTAGGCGGACATTCTGAAGTTCGGGTGCAGGCCTACTGGATCAAAAAACACGCCAGTAGGTCTCCGCAGAGGGGGGAGCCAGGGTGTTTTCCTTTCAAGTGCAACATTTTCAAGTGCAGTCTCTAGTGTGCATGGAACGAGGAGGCGGCGTAGTGTAAATCAATCACAATCTCGCGATTAGGGCACACTTGAAACTCAAAAGAGTTCTCAAGTGGTGTGGAACAAGGCTCTTACTCTAGAACCTGTTACAAATAGATGCACTCTCGAAACCCTGGGCGTCGACGGACTCGACAGAAGAGCTGTACCACTACACTACAGGGCAACGCCAGGCTGGTCTGGCTGGTCTGGCCGTCGGGACAGGAGGTCCATTCTCGAAAAACGAGCCGGTCGAAGGGCAACTCGCGAGCAAACTTGCAAATTTGTTTTTTGCAGGCGGGCGCCTCTCGATGTTTCGAGAGTGGCGTTATAGCATATGCCTTCTGACAGCTCTCGATCTTCGAGAGTTTCTCAATCGAGAGCAAGTGCAGAGACAACCCACTCTCGAAACTTCAAGAGTCTAGAGTAGTGCAGCGAGCCCCAATGTCCTCACTCCATTACAACATTCATCATGTATCTGGACTGTTCGATTTAACATGTACCATCCCACCGATTCAACATTTTAAATGTACCAGCCTCTCAGGACCATTTTCAGGTCCACATACCATTAGATTTTTCTGCAGTGGAGTGAGCTCATTGGGGTTCCTCAACGTCTTCCCATAAAACAACATGAACAACAGCGACAACACTAAAAACAACAACAACAACAACAATAGCCTCCTGGGAAATGCTAGTGGTGTCTGCTCTTACCAGCACCCCTAGCATCCTCTCGGGCTGTTTTGCCTTTAGGGCCTCACCACACAGGCTGTCGAAATGTGCAAAACGAGAATGAACTTCCCGCTACAACATGGCCAGATGCAGCTGCGACATTTTTGTCGTTGTCGAAACATCACCAAATTCGACATATGTCAGGCATTTCTCGAAATTGAATTTCCCTCTTTCGACAGAAAACCCCTCTTCGCCACACAGCATGTCCAAGTGAAGAACTCACAAGTCCTGTGCACAAAAGAGAAACTGGGTTGAAGATAGGACAACCTTCGGTGCGTTCTCTTTTTCGACATTCGGGCAGGAATTCGACATCACATCCGAGGACTTGAAAATGTGCAAGCTGCAGGCCTGAAGTGGAAACGAGCCCTTCTCGACAGCAGGTGTCGAAACCCTTTCCCTGACAGCTCCTGATTTCTTTTTGCATCTCGGATTTCGACATGCTATGTGGCGAGGAGAAAATGTCGAAAATGCAGTTTTCGACATTGGTGTGGGAAGGCCCTAAAAACAACGACGACAACAACAACAACAACAACAACAACAACAGCAACAACAAGAAGGACGACGATACTTCCAATACAGCTTCCGACACCAACAACAACAATAGCTGTACCTTACCAAAAAAAAAAAAAAAAAAAAAAAAAAAGCTGTACCTTGGATGTACGTGGCAGCCTGATCAGGCAGTGAGGGAACAACTGCCAACCACAGAATATCAACAATACCTAAAACATAGGGCATAGCTGCACTACACAGCACTCGACGTGCATGTGGACGGAAATTACAGGGGCTCCAGACAAATTTCCCCCCAAAACAAACATAAATAAAATTAAAAAAGACAATCAACATGCCAACGGCCATAACAACCTCCCATCTGGTCGCTCCCTTGGTGATTGCCTCCTCCATCCCCTGTGACGGTGAACATGCCCCATGGTACGCTGCTTTTCTTCTTCCACGTAGCACAGCCCTGGGCGCGGTAATTAATGGAACGTATCCTGACTGGGTTTCAGTGGGAGGGACGTATTCTGAGCGGGTCTCCCTCCTCCCCCCCATGAGCTGCCCCCCCCATGAGCGGGTTTCCCTCCCCCGCCCCCCCCCTCCTCTCTCTGCCTTCCGCTTACTCCACTCCCTTCCATTGGGCGGTAAAAAGTTGGACGTATTCTGACTGGGTTTCAGTTGGGCGTATTCTGAGTGCCTTCCCCTCCCTCCCCCCCTTCCCCCCACCCTCTCTTCTCTCTCTCGTTTTTGCCAAGAGGTAGGCGAACGTCGCTCATTTTCTCTCCACTCTCTTGACGCCGGGCGGTAAACAGTGGGACGTATTCTGACTGCGTTTCAGGGGGACATACTGTATTTCCAGTGGTTTTCCCTCCCCCTTCCCCGCGCCGCCCCCCCCCGCCCACCCTCCCCCTTCTTCTCTCTCTCGTTTTCGCCGAGCTCTCGTGGCATCTCGCTCACTCTTTGTCCGCTCTCTTCGGTTCGACGGCTCGAACGAACTAAACGGCTTTTAAACACGGCCAGCAACTCCACTCCTACTCCAATCTCTCTCTCTCATTTTCACACCAATCTACCCCTCTGCCGTAACAGAAAGCTCAATAACAAATAATCATCCTATGTAATGTAATACAGTAATACTATTAACTTCCTCCCAAAACAAAAACAAAAAAAAAAAACTATTTAACTTCCATAATAATCTCGAATGACCGGGGGCCGCTCACCTGTGGATATATCTGAAGACTACCACCCATTGAGGAAGAGAAAAAAAAAGGAGGGGAAACTTCAGTAGAGTCACAAAAAAAAGGAGTTATAATTGTACTACTATGGGGTAAGATACAGTCTTGCGATTGCACTTCGGGCACCCTACCTGGACAGAAAACTGGGTAGTATACATTGCGTGAACTGCAATGCGAAAATGTATCTTGGCCCATAGTTCAATTAAAACTCATTTTTGTGACTCCCGCGTTGTTTCCCCCAAAAGAAAGAAAGAAAATGAAAAGAACATCGCTTGATCATAACAATCAGCAGGCCTCGCTCCACTGCTGACCACATGCACAGAAGACAAAACATACGGCGGGGAATCTTTCCATGATCTACGGGAAGATTCATTCTCATTTTGCACACTTGGCCAGTACTGGAAGGAAGCCTATACACGTACATGGAAGTAAAGCCCGACATATAGTTCATCGCAATGCCAGTCTAGTTTTTTCTGGCACATAGTGCGTGCGCATAAATGCTAAATTTATACGTCGGGGTAGCAGGCTATATTACTGTAATAAGTCCGAGGTGCACGGAGGTACTCTCTTCCTCAGACACCCACTCGCTCTCTCTCTCTCTCTCTCTCTCTCTCTCTCTCTCTCTCTCTTTCTCTCTCTCTCTCTCTCTCTCTCTCTCAAGGACTTTCTTCTCTCTCGAGCAAGTGTACACGAGCGCACGTGTGACGAGGGACACATTCGAGCGCGCGTGCATGCACTAAGGGCCTCGCCACACCACTCTCGAAGTGTGGAAAAGACAAAAATGTGGCGGGTGCATCTGGCTATGTTGTGCAAGGAAATTCATTCTCATTTTGCGCATTTCGAGAGTGGTGTGGCGATGCACTAAGCCGAGAAAGAAGAGAAAGCAAGCTGTAGAGTTTGGCGAACGCCGTTGACAAGGCTCGTGACTCGTGCGCAGAGCACACACTAAGAGGGTGAGAGAGCAAGAGACCATGAGAGAGAAAGAGAGAGAGAGAGAGGAAAAGAGAGAAAGAGACGAGGATATAAAGCAAGGCAGAGTTTAACGAGATGGAACAGGGCGGGCAGAAGAGACGAAACAAAGCGCTGAAGTTGGGCGGGCGAAATTACGGAATAACCCTAGCTTCCAAGCGAAATTACGGAATAACCCTAGCTTCCAAACTCATCGCTCTCTCTCTCCCTCTCTCTCGCGCGCGCGCGCGCGTGGTGTGTGTGTGTGCGCGCAGTGCTTACACACTCGTAAAGACAAAGAGAAGTAAGGTCAATACTCTCTCTCTCTCTCTCTCCTGTCTCTTATACACATCTAGATGTGTATAAGAGACAAGCACGGTTGCCGCAGGTTCCTGCAACGG